TTTTTGGATGGTGTCTTGCTCTGTTACCCAGGCTGGAGTACAATGGCACAATCTCCACTTACTGCAACCTCTGCCTCCCCAATTCAAGTGATTCTCCTGCCTTTGCCTCCTGAGTAGCTGGGATTACAGGCACACACCACCACGCCCGGCTAATTTTTTGTATTTTTAGGACGGGGTTTCACTATGCTAGCCAGGCTAGTCTCGAACTCCTGACCTCGTGATCCACCCGCCTCAGCCTCCCAAAGTGTTGGGATTACAGGCGTGAGCCACTGTGCCCAGCCTCTGTTTTTTAGTTTTTAAGAGATAGGTTCTCCCCATGTTGCCCAGACTGGAGTGCAATGGCTATTCACAGGCTGGAAACCACTACTGCCCAGCATGGGAGTTTTGCCCTATTCCCTTTCTGACCTGGGCCAGTTCACCCCTCCTTAAGCAACCTGGTGGTCCCCCACTCCAAGGAGGTAGTCGAACTGATGTTGAACTGAGTGCAGACACCCAATTGCCATAGTGGACTACAACCCAGAACTCGTGAGCTCGACGGATGCTCCCACCTCAGCCTCTCGAGTAGCTGGGACTACAAACACGTGCCACTGTGCCCAGCCCATCATTGATGCCTCATTGTGTGCTAGGCACTGTACTCAATGTATAATTTTTTTTTCTTTTTTGAGACAGAGTCTTGCTCTGTTGCCCAGGCTGGAGTCCGGTGGCACCATCTTGGCTCATTGCAACCTCCGCCTCCAGGGTTCAAGCCATTCTCCTGTCTCAGCCTCCTGAGTACCTGGAATCACAGGCAATGCACCACCACGCCTGGCTAATTTTTGTATTTTTAATAGAGACGGAGTTTCGCCATATTGGCCAGGCTGGTCTCAAACTCCTGACCTCAAGTGATCCACCCACCTTGGCCTCCCAAAATGCTGGGATTACATGTATGGCCTGGCCACTCATATATAATTTATATCTGTGACTCACTGTGGCTTGTGGAGGATACAGTGACAAACTGCCAAAGTCTTCCCCCAGCCTTTGAGGCCCTGTAAGATATGGGAGGCCCATAGCCTCCCTTATCTCGCATCCTCGCCTTCCCATCTCTCTCCATAGCTTCATCCTCATCAACCTTCTGGTTCCCCAGGAATATTCTAAACTCAAACCAACCTCAGGACCTTTGCACTTGCTCTTTCCTCTGCCTAGAAATCCCCTGCCTCCCAACTCCAGGCATAACTGCTTCCTTCTTGTTTTTCTCTTTCTTTCTTCCTTTCTTTTCTTTTCTTTTGAGCTGGAGTTTCACTCTATCACCCAGGCTGGAGTGCAATGGCTTGGTCTCTGCCCACTGAAACCTTCACCTCCCTGGTTCAAGCAATTCTGCCTCAGCCTCCCGAGTAGCTGGGATTACAGGTGTACACCACCACGCCTAGCTAAGTTTTATATTTTTAGTAGAGACAAGGTTTCACCGTGTTGGCCAGGCTGGTCTTGAACTCCTGACCTCAGGTGATCTGCCTGCCTTGGCCTCCCAAAGTGCTGGGATTACAGGTGTAAGCCACCGCGCCCAACCCTTCTTGTTTTACACATGTCAGCTCAAATATCACTTCCTCAGAGGTAACTGCCTGGCTCTATGGTCTCTAAATGAGCCTCCTGCTCCCTTTTTGATTATATTATCCTGTCTGTAAACCTTCTTGCTCTGTTGCCCAAGCCGGAGTGCAGTGGCATGATCATAGCTTGCTGCAGTCTCGACCTCCTGGGCTCCAATGATCCATCTCAGCCTTCCAAGTAGCTGGAACTACAGGCGTGCACCACCATGCCAGGCTGACAAAACATTTTGTTTTCACCGGGTGCGATGGCTCACACCTATAATCCCAGCACTTTGGGAAGCCAGGGTGGGCAGATCATGAGGTCAGGAGTTCCAGACAAGCCTGGCCAGCATAGTGAAACTTTGTCTCTACTAAAAATACAAAAATTAGCTAGGCATTGTGGCCTGAGCCTGTAGTCCCAGCTACTTGGAAGGCTGAGGCAGGAGAATCGCTTGAACCAGGGAGGTGCAGGTTGTGGTGAGTCAAGATCGCACCACTGCACTCCAGCCTGGGCAACAGAGCGAGACTTCATCTCAAAATAAATAAGTAAATAAATACAAAAAAAAAATACAAAAAAATTAGCCGGGCGTGGTGGCGAGTGCCTGTAATCGCAGCTACTCGGGAGGCTAAGTCTGGAGAATTGCTTGAACCTGGGAAACAGAGGTGGCAGTGAGCCAAGATTGTGCCATTGCACTCCAGCCTGGGCCACAAGAGCAAGACTCTATCTCAAAAGAAAAAAAAAAAAGGAAGAAATTTTGTTTTGTAGCGGCACGGTCTTGCTTTGTTGCCCAGGCTGATCTCGCGCCCCTATAATCCCCCTTCTTTGGCCTTCAAAAGTGCTGGGAATTCATAGGTTCTAAGCCACTGCCACGCTGTTTCTGTGTCATCATCTCTAAAATGGTGATTAAAATAGGGCCTTTGCTGGGCGCGGTGGCTCACGACTATAATCTCAACACTTTGGGAGGCTGAGGCGGGAGGATCACTTGAGGTCAGGAGTTACAGACCAGCTTGGCCAATATGGTGAAACCCTGTGTCTACTAAAAATACAAAAATTAGCCAGGCATGGTGGTGCACACTTGTAATCCCAGCTGCTGGAGAGGCTGAGGCACGAAAATCACTTGAATCTGGGAGGTGAAGGTTGCAGTGAGCCAAGATCATGCCACTGCATTACAGGCAGGGCAAGACTGAGTGAGACACATCTATTATTCCAACACTTTGGCAGGCCCAGGCCAAAGGATCACTTGAGGCCAGGAGTACGAGACCAGCTTTGGCAATATAGCAAGAGCTCCTCTCTACAAAATATTTTTAAAATATAAAAAAATAGGCCAGGCGCGGTGGCTGGCGCCTGTAATCCCAGCACTTTGGGATGATGAGGTGGGCAGATCACAAAGTCAAGAGATCGAGACCATCCTGGCCAACATGGTGAAACCCTGTCTCTACTAAAAATACAAAAATTAGCTGGGTGTGGTGGCACGCGCCTGTAGTCCCAGCTACTCCGAAGGCTGAGGCAGGAGAATTGCTTAAACCCGAGAGGTGGAGGTTGCGGTGGGCTGAGATTGCACCACGGCACTCCTGCCGGGGTGACAGAGCGAGAATCAGTCTCAAAAACAAACAAACAACAACAAAATAGGGCTTTTGGTGAGGATAACTCAGTGTTTTGCCCATAGTGACTGCTGATTAAACGTTAGGTATTGTTATTTATTTTGTGTATGATTGTTTACCTCTTGCATTGAATGAACGATTCATGAGAGAAAACAGGTTCACTTAATCACTCCTGAAACTTCAGCACCTAGAACAGAGCCTGGCCCGTTAGGCACTCAGTAAACATTTTTGAATGAAAGAATGAGGCAGGCACGATTATGAGACCCCACTTTCCAGATGCGGAAGTGGAGCTTTTGGGTCACGAAACCAGACAGTGGAGGAGTCAGGATTCAAACCCAGGTCAATCTGGTTCCAAAGTTTCTACTGTTTGTCTCTGTGTCCAGAGGGAATTCTTTTTCGACTCTCGACTTCACTTCTCCTGCCTATACTCTAGGTGTTTACCCTCGTTGGAGACTTGCGGAAGGCGGTCCAATATTCTTGAAATCCATTGTCGGGTTTTCTACCCTCCCTTCTTCCCCCACAACTTTCGAGCCATCTCTGCCTGACACGCGGGCTAGTCCAAGCCTCACAACTGGGCCTGTGCCAAAGCCCGGAGTGGATAATACGGTTGTGGGAGGCCACGGCTCTAAGGGCGGAGTTAAGGGCCTGGGGCCGCAGACAGAGTGGTGGGGAAGGTTGGGGAGGGACTAACAGACCGCGGGGGGAGGGGTTTAAATTCCGAGGGCGGAACTAATCCTATAAGAAGGTCCTGTCCAGAGCTCTGGAGAAGTACTATACTATAAACCCTTGGAGGTTCAGGGGGCGGTGCTAATGATTCTGTGGGCAGGAATAAAACTTTAGCACCCGCAAGATTCCGGGGGTGGGGCTAAGAGCCTGGGGGTGGGCCTAGATGTAATAAACAAGAGCTCCCTGAGCGAGTTTGGGGCTGTAAGGTCGGGCCCTGGTCTTAAGGAGGGAGCTTTTGGAAAATCCAATGAAAATCTGAAGAGAAGGTTTTGGGGATAGGGGAGTGACTACCTCCAACCCATCCTCCTCTCGGAGCTCGGGGCTGCGCTTCAGGCTGAAAGCAGGAGAGGCCCTGCCCCTTCCAATCCCTCTGCATCCCTATTGGTGGAAGGCCCTGCGCGACAGTCTCTCATTGGTTCTGAAAGGGCGAGGAGGGGGGTCTAGAGAGAAAACACTCTGGTTGTGGGCGGGACCAGACGGTACCTAGGGGGATCTGGGCGCAGCCAATCCTGGCCCGAGGATTGTGTTGGGGGGCTTGGCAGGGGGTGTCCTACCCCCCTTTCTGGGCATCCTGGGGGATGACCCCAGCGCCAGGCCCGGCGCCGGCCGCCTGATGCCAGGCAAGCTGAGCTGGGGATGCTGGAACGAAGGGCGTTGCTATGGCAACGGGAGGCAGGGCCTGGTGGGGGGGACCGGGCCCGAGCTGGGACCGGGGGGGCCGGCGGTGGCTGTGGTGGGACGATGGCGGAGCGCGGCCCGGCCTTCTGCGGCCTGTACGACACGTCCTCGCTGCTGCAATACTGCAACGGTGAGACCCCTCCTCAGTTCCGACCTTGGCCCCGCCCAAGGCTGGACCCATCTCTTCTTGCCCCAACCTCCTCCTTCCAAGTCCCCATCCCCCTCCCTTGCTGAAGATCCCCCTTTCCTCTCCCTCAGCAGCACCCTGACCCAAGAGAAGGTCCCTGGCCCCCAAAACCCAGATCCCAGCCCCCTATCCACTTGGATCCTCCGCTACTCCAGAGGTGGCTAGACGGAGAGGAGAGAAGGGCAGAACACCAAGGAACCAGGGATTGGAAGGGGGAAGGACCTGGGAGTCGATTGGGCCTGGAACTCTGCCCTTTCTCCCTTCAAGCTTCTGGAACGCTCCCCTATCTCCGTAGCAGGGGGACAGACAGAGGGGGTGGGAATGGATTTGGTGTTGAGTTGAGGGCAGAGTGTGGAACTGGAAAGGGACAGTCAGAGGACTTTGCCTTTAGGATACCTCCCAAATCCTCTGGCCCTGGCCCTCCCGTGCATTAGGACCATCCCTTCTCCCTAGACAAATGCGTGTGATACCAGAAGGGCCACTGTGGGTGTGAGGCTCAGGTGAAGGGAGATAGGAGAAGAGGGGAGTTGGGAGGGAAAAGTGGGAAGTGAGGCCTGGTCTCTGGGAAAAAGGGCTGAGGATGGGGGGATGGTCAGGAGGGAGCAGAGGGCTTGAGTCACAGGGATGGGGATGGTGGAGGTGTGGGGGTTGGCAGGATGGGCTGGCCAAGGCCTGACAGTGCAACTGGCCGCTCTGGGTGGGGCACAAGTGTCAAGATGAAAGCACCTCTATTTAACTCAGTTTGGAGGTTCAGCCCTCTGGGCACACACCCTAGTGCCAGGGACCACTGGAATTAGCAGGGGACCCAGAATGCTTATTTTGTCCTCCTCTGTCCCTCTAAGAGCCAGAATGACAGGGTGGCCATTCCTGGGTTGAGTATGGGTTCTTCCATTGATCGGCTGTGTGTGCATGTAACAAGTAACGTCACCTTTCTGGGCTTCAGTACCCTTCCTCCTCCTCTCCTCCTAAAATGGATTATGCCACTACGACTACTAGAGTTGCCAAAAGCATTAGGTATCATAAAAATAGTTAATCCTATTCTGGATTTATCGAGCATCAACATGAGCCAGGAACGCGCTAAGTGTTTTGTGTGAGCAGCGCCTGGCACATGTAAGCTCACGGTATCAGATGCCATTTTTTTCTGGTCGTATTATTAATGGTAGGCAGGACCAGGCTGAGCAAAGGAGGTGACTGGGTCCCCCGCCCCCACCTACTGGCTGGGTGATCTTTGGCGTGTCTCTGCACACTCCTGCTAGCCTCCTTCCTTAGTTTCCCGTTTGCAAAACTTGATGCCAACAAGACCCCTAGAGGTTTCCCACTGTTATGAGTTCTAAGTGCTGACGGCTCACTCCTTCTGACCTCAGGAGGCTCCCACCTCCCACTGCAGGTCCAGGCACCGGACCTGGGAGGCGCTGAGTTGGGGGCAGGGCGGACAAGCCTCGGCAGGCGATTGGGCTACGGGGGGGAGGAGGGAGGAGCGGCGGCTGCACTGCGGAGCCCAGAGGGCCAGTTGGGCGGCCTATGGACGCGGGATGGCAGGTGCGAGCTCCACGCCCTGTCCCTGTCTAAGCTACCACCTTTACTTCCACCAGGCTGGGAACCAGGGCTTCCTTGGTTGTGGTCAGCAATGAGTCTGGGTATGAGTATTCTGGGGGAAAAGAGGGAGAGGGACCCCTTGGGTCTCCGCCCCTCCCACTTTGGGAAAATGAGCGGGGTTGGGGGGGCCACTCGGGGAGTCATTTTGGTTGCATCCATAGGCTGGAGAGCCAAATCTGGGGCGCGGGGTAGAGGCGAAATAAAGAAGGAAAACAGAAAAGAGGAATGCCTGCTGGGGAAGAGTTTAGGTGTCATCCCCGTCTGCATTCTCCCTTGGGTCTTCTGGGTCTGCGATGCGCTGCCTGCAACCCCCAAGTCCGCCGCCAGGGGCCGCCGAAGCTCTGTCCTTGCAGCTGGCTCTAGGGTCGAACCCCAGGGTGAGGAGAGGAGGGGACATGGGGAGGCTAGGCATGACCTTTTGACTGGGAAAGTCTTAGAAACAGTGAAGAGACGTTGGAATTCATAACATCATCTTCGTCGGAGGGTGTTGGGGATCAATTCTAGAACTTTAGTGTCATTAGGAGTAGGTTAGTGTGTCATTTTGCAAATGCTCTTATCACTCATAGATACTTAAAGTCTTAGTCATAGAATCTTTTTTTTTTTTTTTTTGAGACGGAGTCTCGCTCTGTCGCCAGGCTGGAGTGCGAGTGCAGTGGCGTGATCTTGACTCATGGCAACCTCTGACCCCCGGGGTTCAAGTGATTTCCCTGTCTCAGCCTCCAGAGCAGCTGGGCCTACAGCCACACGCCACCACGCCCGGCTAATTTTTTTTTTCTTTTTCTTTTTGTATTTTAGTAGAGACAGGGTTTCACCGTGTTGGCCAGGATGGTCTCGATCTCCTGACCTCGTGATCCGCCCGCCTCGGCCTCCCAAAGTGCTAGGGTTACATGCGTGAGCCACCGTGCCTGGCCACATCTTAGTCATAGAATCTTAAAGCCAGAGCGAGAGGCTCCTGGGTTCACAGAATCTTAGAAAATAAGAGGGAAGGGACTTCCCCAAGGTCACAGGGCCAGCGCGCTGCGGCAGAGAGGAGTGTGGGGATGGGTTGGAGAGCGGTGGGGATTTCCTTCCCCCTTCAGAGTCCTCTTCCTTGGCCCATCTCCAAGTGTCCCAGCCCCAGGTAGCGGGACAGGAAAGGGGCGTGGCTGGCCCCCTCGCTTAGACCCAGGAAGGCGGGAGGGACCAGTTGGGTACTGGAGCTCCTGGGTGGCCCTGCAGCCGGCACTCCCCCGTCTTCCAGATGACAATTTGTCGGGCACGAGCGGTATGGAAGTGGACGACCGCGTGTCGGCGCTGGAGCAGCGGCTGCAGTTACAGGAAGACGAGCTGGCGGTCCTAAAGGCGGCGCTGGCGGATGCTCTGCGTCGCCTGCGGGCGTGCGAAGAACAGGGAGCTGCGCTCCGCGCGCGGGGCACCCCCAAGGGCCGGGCGCCTCCGCGCTTAGGCACCACTGCCTCGGGTATCCCCGTTAGACTGGAGGGGTGGGATGGGGAGGACCGGGGCCTGGTCCTCATACTCACCCTCTTCTGTCCCCATCCCTCCAGTGTGTCAGCTCTTGAAAGGCCTTCCCACCAGGACGCCCCTTAATGGCTCGGGACCCCCGCGGCGCGTGGGTGGCTATGCCACGTCCCCATCCTCTCCCAAGAAGGAGGCGACCTCCGGGCGCAGGTAAGGCACAAGGCCGGGACCCCCAGCCTCTTCCAAGACCTCGTGGGAGACAGAGGTGGTTTGTTTGCCTGAGCTTCAGCAGCAGAAGGTGCAGGGAGGATGTCGCCCGCTCACGGCACTTGCCTGCTGGCCTCGAAGGCTCTGCCGCCAACTGTGTGTTCTCTTTTAGCAGTGTCCGCCGCTACTTGTCACCAGAGCGCCTGGCCTCGGTGCGCCGCGAGGACCCCCGCAGCCGGACCACATCCTCCAGCAGCAACTGTAGCGCCAAAAAGGAAGGGTAAGGACTGGGGCGGCGTCAAGCAGCAGAAAGAGATAAGGAGGAAGTGGTCGAGAAATGTAGTCATGCCCCAGGCCACGAGGTCGTAACCTAGAGTGGGGCCAGCTGGTTCAAATGCGGGGACAGTGCCAGAGCCTTGGAAGGACCAATCTTGAGGTGGCACGGTAACAGAGGAAGGTCTGGGAGGGCGGAGTCAATATTTGAGGGGCGTGGCCAGAGTTTTTAGGAGCTGGACAGTCAGGTCTACAGGTCGAGGAAGTCAGGGAGGAGCTTGGTTTATGGACGTGGTTATTAAAGTAAAGGAGAGGTCCCGTTGAGTTTCAGGGATGAAGTCAAGGGAGCAGCCACTGAGTTTCTGCAAGGAAAGAGGGAGTCTGAGAAATTTAAGGGTGCGGCCAGAGTGTTCGCCTGGGAGAAATTAAAACCTGGGGTACGGGGTAACAGAGGCTGAGACCAGGTGGAGGCATGCCAGATTCCAGAAGCCTTGACATCAAAATCAGGGGACACTGCCTGGTGGAAAAGGGCGTGATTTAAAGGTTAGGCGGGGCCGTAGGGGCGTGGTCAAATGCAAGAGGTGGAGCCAACTTGGAGGCCTCGAAGGTACTCAACTAAGGAGTACGTGAAAATGGACGAAGGCCAGGCGCGGTGGCTCAAGCCTGTAATCACGAGGCGGATCACGAGGTCGGGAGATCGAGACCATCCTGGCTAGCACAGTGAAACCCCGTCTCTACTAAAAAATACAAAAAACTAGCCGGGCCTGGAGGTCTGTAGTCCCAGCTACTCGGGAGGCTGAGGCAGGAGAATGGCGTAAACCCGGGAGGCGGAGCTTGCAGTGAGCTGAGATCTGGCCACTGCACTCCAGCCTGGGCGACAGAGCGAGACTCCATCTCAAAAAAAAAAAAAGAAAAAAAAAAAAGAAAATGGACGTAGTCAGAATGCCTGGCAGGCCGGAGAAGGAGCTTTGCAGGGAGGTAGCAGTCAATTCTCAAGCGACTGAGTCAACTCAGGGACAGGGTTAGAAGGGAGCAGGTGGTTGAGATCAGAATGACAGGCGTGGTCAACTCCAGAGGCGGGGCCATACTGAAGATCTGGACCGAGTAAAAACCTGAGGTTATAATTCTAGCAGTTTGGGAGGCGGAGGCGGGATCATCGTTTGAGCTCAGGAGTTCGAGACCAGGCTGGGCAACATAGCGAGCCCTCGTCTTTACTAAAAATGAAAATAAATTAGGCCTGGCGTGGTGGCTCACTCATGTAATACCAGCACTTTGGGAGGCCTAGGCGGGTGTTTCACAAGATCTCCATCCTGGCCAACATGGTGAAACCCCTTCTCTATTAAAAATACAAAAATTAACTGGGCGTGGTGGCGCGTGCCTGTAGTCCCAGTTACTCGGGAGGCTGAGGCAGGAGAATCACTTCAACCCGGAAGGAGGAGGTTGCAGTGACTCGAGATCGCGCCACTGCACTCCAGCCCGGCAACAGAGCGAGACTCAGTTAAAACAAACAAATAAAAAACAAAAAACAAAAGCAAAAAAGAGAGAGAGAGAAAGAAAGAAAATAGCCGTACGTGCTGGCCTGAGCTTGTCGACCCAGCTACTTGGGAGGCTGCAGCGGGAGGATCACTTGAGCCTAGGAAATTCAAGGTTTCAGTGAGCCATGATCACGCCATTGTACTCCAGCCTGGTCGACAGAGCAACACACTGTATCAAAAACAAAACAAAATAAAAATCATCCTAAAGCTGGAGTTATGGTGTAGTGGGCGTGGTCAGAGCTAGGAGGTCACGCAAGGGCAAGACCAAGGTCAAAAGTTGCACATTTCAACTCTGCTCAAACACAGCAAACACAAATACAGCGTTATGTATACTCCAGGCACTTCCCGATAATTAACCAATTTCATCCTCTCAACTATCCCCTGGAGGTGTGGGTTATCTTTATTTATTTATTTATTTAGAGACAGAGTCTTGCTCTTGTTGCCCAGGCTGGAGCACAATGGCACAATCTTAGCTCACTGTAACGTCCGCCTCCCTAGTTCGAATGATTTTCCTGCTTCAGCCTCCCAAGTAGCTGGGATTACAGGCGCCAGCCACCACGCCCTGCTAAGTTTTGTATTTTTAGTAGAGATGGGGTTTCACCACATTGGCCAGGCTGGTCTTGAACTCCTGACCTCAGGTGATCCGTCCGCCTCGGCCTCCTAAAGTGCTGGGATTACAGGCGTGAGCCACCGCGCCCGGCCGGGTACTGTTATTATCCCCATTTTTAAAATGAGGAAACCGAGGCAGAGGTTGGACGACCTATGTACACTGCTAGGAATTAGCAGAACGGGGGTTTTAACTCAAGAAGGCGCGCTCCCGAGTCCGTCTTCTCAACCACTCTCCCTCACCCACCCTGAAAGAACCTGGGATCGGGAGTCCACAATCCGGGATGTGTGACCCGGTGGGACCCTCCGGCTCCAGGGGCGGCCGTGGAGGGCGGGGCAGGGGCGCGGCGGTCCGGGCGCCTCCCAGGGCCGGAAGCGGCAGAGCCGGTCCGGGCTCCACCCCCGGCCCTGAAGCTCCGCCAGCCGCCGCCATGAGTAGCTTTGGAGCTGGGTGAGACCCTTTTGCAGACGACCCCCCATCTCCTCTCCGCGCTCCCGGGGCTTAGATCTCAGGTCTCCCCCATCCCCTGGGGCCCAGGCCGGCGTGGGGACACGCCCCTTCCCTTAAACTCTCCAGGTTTTTCCCGCTGCTTGACGTTTGGGGTGCTGGGGGACTGCGGGTTGGGGGCGTTGGGAGCACCGTGCTGATTAGGAGGGAAGGGTCCTTGGTGACTCCCTTCTTTCAGGATCGCGTCCCTGCCGCTTCGTGCTGTGTGATCTTTGGCGATCACTGCCTCTCTGGGCCTGTGTCTTAGGCTCTGCAAGATCAACCGAGCAAAGCACACGGCCTGCAGAGAGGCAGCGCTCTGCCCCTTACTCGGCCCCGTTTTCATCGGAGACCTCCGGGGAGCGGTGGGGAGGAGGAATGGTTTCTCCCCTTTTCTGACCTGACTGCTAAGACCTTTTGTTTTTCTTTGTCCTTTCCTGACAGCAAAACCAAAGAAGTTATCTTCAGTGTGGGTGAGTGGGGAGATGGGGAAGGGCTTGGTGGAAGCTTGCTTGCTGGGGTGACAGGCTGGAGCCAGAGGTCAGGAATCCTGGCTACTGGGTCTTTGCCTTTCTGGCCTCAGTTTCCTTGCCTTTAAAAAAAAAAAAAAAAAAAAAAAAGGCTGGAAGAGGAGAGGGAATAGGGATGGGACTGGTGTCAGTGCCTGACCTCTGGGGGTGTCCTGGCAGAGGATGGCTCGGTGAAAATGTTCCTGAGGGGCCGCCCTGTGCCCATGCTGATCCCAGATGAGCTGGCACCCACGTACAGCCTGGACACACGCTCGGAGCTGCCTTCTTGCCGGCTCAAGCTGGACTGGGTGTATCCTTTTCTGAAATCCCCTCAGTGCTCCCATCTCTTCAAGAGGAAATAGAAAGGCAGTCAAGGCAGCTTAGGCCTGTAATCCCAGCACTTTGGGAGGCTGAGATGGGAGGATCATTTGAGGCCAGGAGTTTGGGACCCGCCTGGGCAACACACAAAAAAAGGTACATACAGCACGTTCAAGGGCTGTGTGACCAGAGTGGGAATGGTGCATTTGAGCAACAATGAGTTGGGAATGGCTGGGAGCCCGGGTTTTGGAGTCTGACAGAGATGGGATCAAACCCCAGTCCAGCCCGTAGCTGGCTGCGTGACCCTGGAAAAGTCACCTTGACTCTGTGTGATAATTGCTTTCTCTGAAAAATGAATTTCATGGCCGAGGCGGGAGGATCACCTGAGGTCAAGAGTTTGAGACCAGCCTGACCAA